CAGAGGCAATGTACTGTAGACCCCAAGTGTGTCTGCATATTCTTGCTGAGTGTGCCAAGAATACAATCCCTTGACTGTTCTTTACCCTGGCCACTTCTCAGGGCTGTTTTTGCACCCTTGTGAGCAACCTTGAAGGATGAGGTAATGTCTCCCCCAGGAAAAAAGCAAGCGTGCTTCCACTTGCTATAAAAGTAGTAGATGTCAGTGTTCCTCTCCTGTCACACAACTCACTGCATAATGGGCCCTTTGCATCACCTCCTCGGGATGTGGGGGGGGTATAGGAAACTGACACATAAGAACATGAAACTCTGGTTCTCACTTTTGCTGTGAGTGATAAAGTCTTTTGTTCCTGGCCCAGAAGTCTTATGTCTTCTGTTAACATCCATGAAACCATGACAGACTAACTTTTTAGCTTACAAGTTGGGTAAAATGGCTAACACTGCACAGTTCCTGTCAATTTCTCCTCCCCAATTATTTGAAGCAAATTGAACATATTAAAAGTAAATATTTCATCATGTATCTCTAAAATGATTTAAAAAGAAATGTAACCACAATCCTATTAACACAACTCCAAATTTCAGTAAGAATCTTTAATATCTTTAAATATCCAGTCATACCAATTTAATGAGTCATTAATTCTCTGATGTAATGCTGTGATAGGCAATGCAACTGTGACAACTATGAGGGGTAATGGGTTGCCATTTGCTAAGATCATTTAAGAAGTCAAGGCAGGGCCGGGTGCGGTGGCTCACACCTGTAATCCCAGCACTTTTGGATGGTGAGGTAGGTGGATCACCTGAGGCCAGGAGATCGAGAACAGCCTGGCCAACATGGCGAAACTCCATCTCTACTAAAAATACAAAAAATTGGCTGGGCACGGTGGCTCATGCCTTTAATTCCAGCAGTTTGGGAGGCCAAGGTGGGTGGATCACCTGAGGTCATGAGTTTGAGATCAGCCTGACCAACATGGTGAAATCCTGTCTCTACTAAAATTATAAAAATTAGCTGGGCATGGTGGTGGGCACCTGTAATCCCAGCTACTTGGGAGGCTGAGGCAGGAGAATTGCTTGAACCCAGGAGGCAGAGGTTGCAGTGAGCCGAGATCACACCATTGCAATCCAGCCTGGGTTGACAAGAGCGAAACTCCATCTCAAAAATAAAAATACAGATACAAAAAATTAGCTGGGCATGGTGGCAGGCACCTCTAATCCCAGCTACTCCAGAGGCTGAGGCACAAGAGTTGCTGGAACCTGGGGACAGAGGCTGCAGTGAGCCAAGATCACACCACTGGACTCCAGCCTGGGCAGCAAGGGTGAAACTCCACCTCAGGGAAAAAAAAAAAAAAAAAAGAAGTCAAGGTAGAAAAATTATGCAGGTGTCAATTCCTCGAAGTGTATAACATCCATTCTAGCCCTATTATTTTTTTGATACGTATTATTTTTTGATATGTATATGTATATGTATATGTATGTATATATGTGTATGTGTATACACGTTTGTGTATATGTATATACATATGTATGTGCATATGTGTATGTATATACACACACGTATATGTACATGTATATATAAACACACGTGTATACATGTATATATACATATACACATGCATACATATATAAATATACACATACCTACATATATGTATACACAAACACACTTTTTTTTTTTTTTGAGACAGTGTCTCTGTCGCCCAGGCTGCAGTACAGTGGTGTAATCTCAGCTCACTGCAACTTCCATTTCCCAGGTTCACGCAATTCTCCTGCCTCAGTCTCCCCAGTAGCTGGGATTACAGGCCCGTGTCACCATAGCCTGGCTAATTTTTGTATTTTTAGGAGAGACAGGGTTTCCCCATGTTGGTCAGGCTGGTCTTGAACTCCTGACCTCAGGTGATCCACCTGCCTTGGCCTCCCAAAGTGCTGGGATTACAGGTGTGAGTCATAGCGCTCGGCCAGACGCCAATATTTTGGTATTGTCAGTTAATTTTTGTGAAACAGAGACAGACAACCAGTAGGTAATATTCCTGCCAGAATTATGAATGTAAAACATTACTTCTCCTAAAAAATATTCAATTATTGCCTAATTTACAGTACTTGAAGATAAACAATCTGTGGTATACACATAATTAGAATTCCTTTAAAAAATCAGAATACGTCTCAGACTCTGAAATATAAATCTGTTAGCTTAACAGTGCTTTGGTTAATCTATTAGACTCCAATATACTTATACAGTATTTTGTGTTATATTTTAATGAAAATCTAGATTTATGATTGCTCTACTGTTACCAAGGGTACAGCTCTACAAAATACAGCTGTACAAGATCTGATGTTCTAAATATTTGAATATTTTCTATTAAAGAGAAAAAGGAATCCCCATTAGTGGATCCATTCATGTTTCAGTTTCTAGGTGACATCAATATAAATTGTTCACATAAAACCAAGAAGCCGACAGGACTTTTCTTCCTGAAGGATAAAACTTCAAGGCTTTAATACATACTGTGTAATTCTTTCTAATCATTAAGTATTAGAGGCTGCAACCATTACAGGCCAATGAAACAGATCAATTCTTCTTGTTTAACTGCTAAAGAGAAATGTATCACGTTGCCATAATAAATGGAAAAAGAACTCGATTGGAAATCCGCAGAGACAGGTTTTACTTTAGGCTCTGCAAGTAACTGTGACCTTAGGCAAATGATTTAACCTCTGCAAGTTGCGCTCTGGTCTCCAAGGGCTCTCTTCTGTGGTGTAACAGGATGAGCTCGCAATTAAGAGAGAGGCCCCTAGATGGTGGTGTTGTTCTGAGTCAGGCTTTCTATTTTTTTCCTCCTATAATTACAGTGAAGTAAAAAGGCACAAGTTAGAAAATGACTTCACGTTAGTTCTGAAAAAAATTCAGTTGGCTGGGCAAGGTGGCTCACGCCTGCAAACCCAGCACTTTGAGAGGCCGAGGCGAGAAGACTGCTTGAGCCCAGGAGTTCAACACCAGCCTGGGCAACATGGTGAAACTCCGTCTTTACAAAAAATAAAAAATTAGGCTGGATGCGATGGCTCACACCTGTAATCCCAGCACTTTGGGAGGCCGAGGCGGATGGTCACTTGAGGTCAGGAGTTCAAGATCAGTCTGGCCAACATGATGAAACCCGGTCTCTACTAAAAGTACAAAAAAATTAGCCGGGCACGGTGGTGCGTGCCTGTAATCCTAGCTATTCAGGAGGCTGAGGCAGAAGAATCACTTGAACCTGAGAGGCAGAGGTCGCAGTGAGCCCAGATCGTGTCACTGCACTCCAGCCTGGGCAACAGAGCAAGACTCCATCTCAAAAAATAAAATAAAATAAAATAAAATAAAATGAAAAATAAAAAGCCAGACATGGTGGCACATGCCTATAGTCCCAGTTACTTGGGAGGCTGAGGTGGGAGGAACACTTGAGGCCAGGAGTCTAAGGCTGCAGTGAGCCGAGATCATGCCATTGCACTCCAACCTGGGCAACAAAGTGAGACCCTGTCTTGGAAAAAAAAAAAAAATTCACTATGAAGAATTCATTCAATGGCATTCAAAATGACATTGAATCATGAATCATATGGCTCATGTGCATTTTACATTAATTAAAAGAAATAAACCATTAATGATTATACCAAAGTGAACATATTACCTTATAATTAGTCCATATAGTCATCATTATTTTCTCTAGGTGTATTTAGGTAAGCTTAAGAAACTGAGTAAAAACTAAGCAATGATTGTTAGGAGTACTGATTTACAACCCTATAGAAAAATGATTTTTTTTCAAATGCCAGTTCTACTAATAAATTCTGATAAGCACACTTTCTTTCATTTTGAATATTACAGACTGAATTCAAGACCTGTGATTTCTATGAGCACAATGACAGATATATTCCATTACCCTTCCAGCCATGTAAACAAGGGCATCTTTTAAAGAAAAATGCTTTTAGTGTTCAAAGGATAAGAATAATATATTAAATGGCTTCTCTAGGTTTTTTTTCACCTGAGTCTGCTTGCTAGGAAAGGCTTCTCTAGGTTTAACTTATCAAAGAAAAAGGATTAAGAGATTCTAGTTTGAGGTGGTTTAGATTTTAACCTAAAATTCCTGAAAGGAAACAGAATGCATTCCTATTTCTCTCCCATAAAATTCACTGAGTATAAAAATTATGTTTCTCCTTAAACATGGTCAGTCTTGCCTTGAATTCAATCAATATGCAGAATAAGAAAGTACCTATGAGAGCCCATATATTAGCTTTTTGCTTCCTGTCAGTTGGGTGGGTAATTGGTGGCAAGCACAAAATAGAATATGAGAGTGAAATGATATAAAACTGTGAATTTTGTTTCAGTATAGATTTATGTCAAAAATTAAAGTGGAAAGATATTGAGTGAATCCAAGATGGTATCGCTGTATGTGAAAGTCATCCATCCATGCATCCATCCATCCATCCATCCATCCATCCATCCATCCATGCATCCATCCATCCATCCGTGCATCCATCCACTCCAACCAACCAACCTACCCAACCCACCAACCAACCTTTACTGAGCCTGAATGGTGCAAAAGACTAGAGATACAGAGATAAATAAGATACCACAGGCCAGGTGCAGTAATACCAGCACTTTGGGAGGCTGAGGCAGGCAGATTGCTTGAGCCCAGGAGTTTGAAACCAGCCTGGGCAACATGGTGAAACCCTGTCTCTACAAAAAGAAAAAAAAAAATACAAAAATTAGCTGGGCACGCTGATGTGTGCCTGTAGTCCCAGCTACTCAGGAGGCTGTGGCAGAAGAATCACTTGAGTCCAGGAGGCAGAGGTTGCAGTGAGCCAAGATTGCATTGCACTCCAGCCTGGTCAAAGGGAACGAAACATGAAACCCTGTCAAAAAAAACAAACAAAAAAACCCCCAAAAAACCCCCTCAAAAAACATATATATATATATATATATATATGCATGCCACCTCTACCACCTCCATTCTCAAAAAACTCAGTCTAGTATGAGAAAGGGACTTTGAAAGTTCAGTTCAGTTTATTACAGTGTCAAGTAGATTTACAACTATTGCACTTATCATTCTGCTGACAGAAGGCCAAAATTTAAGATGGAGATTTTCCTCTAATAAAGATAGGTTTTCAGAATCTTCAATATAAGATGTTAAAATTATAAAGGCAAAGATATACACCTCATGTTCCAGTCCATATCCTTCCTGCTGTTGTACAGTTTGCTGCAAATGATAATTTAATTTGGATAATGCTTTATATAATTGATTTCTCATGAAATTACTTTTGAGTGAAATTTGACAAGAATTTTCTTTATACTCTCTTCTTTACCAAAACGTATTAGAAGTCCCCATAGTCCAAAATAAAATGTAACCACAGAATGGGGAGACAACTTTAGTCAAACACCAAGTAAATATTACCTTCTTTGCCGAACTCCAGGTGGTATTCATGGAAAAGTGTGGTCATTGGTTGCCTAACTTTCTGGACAATGGGGAAAAAAAACAATAAAAGCTAAAATGTGGTCCAGCATATGAAACTCTTCTCAAAAACAGAAGAAGGTCATGAACATCGTTGGGAAAATGTTTCACATTTCCAATGAAATTCTATTCCATTGATCTGTTTGGAAGATTGTCTTCAACCTATTTGGCTCTAGTCCATAAACTGTAATTGATTCAGTCATGTAAAGAACCACTTTTGTCTTAAGCTTAGAATTTATAACAATGGAAAGCAGGAAAATGGTTTTTCATTTACTCTAATAATTGTGCAGGGATGAGCTAGGGAAAAAATAAAACAAAAAATTACCAGTCTTCTGTCCTCTTTTCATTCTGATAATATCACAAAGAAATGAGCTGTGGAGGTTTGGCACTGTTTTCCATCTTAACAGTTGTTCTGTATTCTAAGATTTTATATGTGATTCATAATGTACTACTATTACAAGACACAGTTTTTATATATTACTGAAATAATGCAAAGAAAATGAATTTTCCTTTGGGTCCAGTAATTGTCAAAGGAATGATTGCAGATTCAGAAAATGTGCTTTGTAATAACCCTGTTAACATAAAGTATACACTGAGGAAAAAAATAAGTATGGCACATATATGGAAGGATTAGTTGTATTAGCAAGGCATTTCAGGGATGGTTTTGGTTCTTTAGACTAAGTAAGATACATCCAATTTAGACCCCCTTCAAATCCTTAGACAAATGGGAATCACTTGGTAACATAAGGATTATTTTGGTGGGCAGGGGCCAATTTCACCATGTGCTTACAAACGCTCCAACTAGTCGGTAAACTCCCACCTGAAGGAAGGATTTGCTCTGGTAATAAGGTTGATATGCTCAAGCTGTAAGAATTAATTTGAATGTCAAAAATGAAATTTAGATTGCTAACCATGTCCTGATAGTTACAGCATGTAGAATATTAAATGTTCTCTTTTTAAACTAAAGTAAAAAAAATGAAGAAGCATGGTTAATTCACTTGTGCTGATTAAAACAGACGTCCACGTGCAGCTTCTGCGTGTGAGCCTCCCATGCTGCCATGCATGCCACCAGATGCTTTCCCTTCGCCTTGCTAATCCCACTAGATGTTTTCCTCGGTAGAACCCTAGCTCATGGGTTTCCATGTGCATGTTTCTATTGTAATGAAAACTATCTACAAAATCTAGACGTTTTCTGCTTTCAGAAAATTCTAGTGTACCATGTACGGCTTAGATATTTCTTTTTCAGTTAAAAAAAATAGTGCAAAAACATATCTGATAGTCAAGGTGATAGTTCAAGTGAGTTCTTGTGCCAAGGAACACAGTCAAGCTTCTCCTCTAGCTCATCTGTAGAAACTGTATGTAGTTTTTGGGAAATATTCCAGATTTTCCCATTAGTTCTCCACTCATCCAGTCATCATCTACAGATTCCAGCTCTGTTATTATATCTCCAGCCTGTAAGACAAAAGGAGTTAGAATTATTGGTTTCTGTTGAGAATAAGCATAGTAAATAGTGGCCTACCTAGGGCAGCATGAATAATCTCTGTATAACTCATTTATCTTGATTGCTGAGAGATTAAATGACAAAGATGATCTATACCTAATGATGCCCTTTGCTTGTATGCCTCTATTCCTTAAATCTCATTCCTTTGCCATTGCCACCCTTGCTGCACTTTGATTTTCCTGCTTATATTTTGTGCCTCTCAAATTCACCACTCCTAATCTAAAATCCCTCTTGAACAAATAATACTAGTTACCACACACACACACACGATTATTTATTGAGTACCCACTATGTGTCAGACACTTTTCTGGGCACAATTAATATTCCCTCATTCTACAACGGGAAGGCAAATAAGCTGGCAGAAGAGGACAGAAAGCATGGGATTGCCAACTCATTAGGGCCATCAAGGGAGGGCCTCACTGAAGGTGTCATAAAGGCAAAGACTTGGAGATGAGAGAGTCACGTGCTTCCTGTATGCCTTGTCTTATTCTGTGTACTTCACAGGAACTAACTTATGTAAACACCACCACAGTCCTAGAGATGAGTATTGTGTTATCCTCATTTGAGAGATTTTTTTTGTTTTGTTTTGTTTTTTGAGACAAAGTCTTGCTCTGTCACCCAGGCTGGAGTGCAGTGGCGCAATCTAGGCTCACTGCAACTTCCGCCTCCCAGGTTCAAACAATTCTCCTGCCTTAGCCTCCCAAGTAGTTGGGACTACAGGTGCCCGTCACCACGTCCAGCTATTTTTTGTATTTTTAGTACAGACGGGGTTTTACCACGTTGGCCAGGCTGGTCTCAAACTCCTGACCTTGTGATCCGCCTGCCTTAGCCTCGCAAAGTGCTGGGATTACAGGTGTGAGCCACTGCCCCTGGCTGAGATATATTTTTATAGATTTCCTTATTTTAGTGAAAAAGAAACCAAAACTCAGATAGATTATAACTTGCCAGTGTCACATGTCTAGTTAGTGGTAGAACCAGGATTCAAATCTAGTGCAATTCCAGGGCTTGTATTCCTAACCACTAGACTATGTGGCCGCCACATTTTACAATGGTCCTTTTTAGTTAGAAAGGCTTTTACTATAATTGCCTTTTATCAATACCCAGAGCATTTTGCACTTTACATTTATTCTTGCACATAATGGCATTTCTCCTCTGCCATTTGGTTTATCACATTCCTCCTACGGCCCCAGTATCTTTTTTTTTTTTTTTTTTTTGAGACAAAGTCTCGCTCTGTGGCCCAGGCTGGAGTGCAGTGGCACGATCTCGGCTCACTGCAACCTCTACCTCCCGGGTTCAAGCGATTCTCTTGCCATGGCCCCAATATCGAATTTGCATTTTTTCCCATCTTAAAGAGCTTCACCTTGACTCAGGACACTGATTTATCTTCATCAGGTTAGTCAAAGGGGCTGTGTGTCTTATTCATGTGCAAATTAGAATTCCTTCAGCAGATGAAGACATAATTATTTTGTTCTTTATGGTTTCTAAACATTTCTTAGAATCTGTGTTTAAGATGCTACAATAGTCCAAGATGACTCTGGCTACTGTTAAGAATACCTTTATCAGGCTAACTGGATTTATTTGTAGCCTTAGTATATTACCCTCTGGAAAAAAAAGTGGCTTGATTTAAGGGTTTTCTTTATGGAAAACGGAAAGGAAACATGCTATCAGATGTTATTAATTTACTCTGCTCTGCTAATATCTGTAAAACTTCTGGCAATTCAAAGTTTTTATTATAAATAAGTTCCTTCTGGTTCCTAAATTATAATTTAATAGTTAACTGAAGCTATTTTTTTAGGTCTGGTCCAAATCTACATACCATGTCAGTTTCCTGAGGGCTAGGACTATTTGTTTTTTTTTTTGAGACGAAGTTTTGCTCTTGTTGCCCAGGCTGGAGTGCAATGGTGCGATCTTGGCTCTCTGTAACCTCCGCCTCCCAGGTTCAAGCGATTCTCCTGCCTCAGCCTCCCGAGTAGCTGGGACTACAGGCGTGAGCCACCACGCCCGGCTAATTTTGTATTTTTTAGTAGAGACGGGGTTTCTTCATGTTGGACAGGCTGGTCTTGAACTCCCGACCTCAGGTGATCCACCTGCCTTGGCCTCCCAAAGTACTGGGATTATAGGCGTGAGCCACTGTGCCCAGCCATGCTAGGACTATTTTTTTTTTTTTTTTTTTTTTTTGAGACAGAGTCTCGCTCTGTCGTCACCCAGGCTGGAGTGCAGTGGCGCGATCTCGGCTCACTCCAAGCTCTACCTCCTGGGTTTACTTATGCCATTCTCCTGCCTCAGTCTCCCGAGTAGCTGTGACTACATGCGCCTGCCACCACGCCTGGCTAATTTTTTTTTTGTATTTTTAGTAGGGACGGGGTTTCACTGTGTTAGCCAGGATGGTGTCGATCTCCTGACCTTGTGATCTGCCCGCCTCGGCCTCCCAAAGTGCTGGGATTATAGGCATGAGCCACTGCGTCCGGCCATCCAGGCTGGTCTTAAACTCCTGGCCTCAAGTGATCCTCCTGCTTTGGCTTCCCAAAAGTGTTGGGATTAGAGGTGTGAGCCACTGTGCTCGGCCTTTTTCTCTTCTTATTGTAGGCAAGTGAAAACCCTCTTTGGCTGTCCACTGTTTTAAACCACACCTTGTCCAATCATTCCTTGATATGTTAATTCTTTCTATAGCATCCTTGTCTCTGACTGAATATCTTCAATGCTAGAGAATTTACCATTGTCTGACACAGGCTATTTTTACAGCAGTGACTACTAAAACCACCCTCCTTCTTCTAGCACTGTTCCCAAAGTACTTTCCTCTGACCATGGTCCAGTTGTGGATTAGGGAAATAGAATCATGAAAATATCTACTTTTGGCCAGGCGCAGTGGCTCACGCCTGTAATCCCAGCACTTTGGGAGGCCGAGGCGGGTAGATCACGAGGTCAGGAGATCAAGACCATCCTGGCTAACACGGTAAGACCCTGTCTCTACTGAAAATACAAAAAAATTAGCCAGGCGTGGTGGCAGGTGCCTGTAGTCCCAGCTACTCGGGAGGCTGAGGCAGAAGAATCACTTGAACCCAGGAGGCAGACTGAGATCGTGCCACTGCAATCCAGCCTGGGTGACAAAGCAAGACTCCATCTAAAAAAAAAAAAAAAGAAAGAAAGAAAAATATCTATTATTTGCTTTGTAAAATGAAATGAAGATAACCTGTTTTCTGGAAGATACTGTGCATTCTGTTATTTATATTGACATAGTTTAAATGAAGACCAAAATAACATCCAAGAAATTTGAATTCAGATTTTCACTTGCAGTAAGTTTATGTAAAGATAAAAGGAATACATTTCGAGCCACTGACTCTCAAGGACTAAGGCAACCGTTTTCTTTCTTCTTCTTTTTTTTTTTAATTTTATTTTAAAGATCAAGACATTAAAGGAAAAAAAGGGAACTGATAGAAGGTTACGAATTTTTAATTTTGCATAGCTACAGCATAAGAAATACCTATCGTTTATGGCTGGGTGCGGAGGCTCATGCCTGTAATCCCAGCTTTTTGGGAGGCTGGGGCGGGTGGATCACTTTGAGCTCAGGAGTTTGAGACCAGCCTGGGCGAGACCCAGTCTCTACAAAATATACGAAAAATTAGCCAGGCATTGGCGGCTTGCACCTGTAGTCCCAGCTACTCAGGAAGCTGAGGCTGGACAATCGCTTGAGCCCAGGAAGCAGAGGCTGCACAGTGAGCTGAGATTCATGCCATTCTCCTGTCCTCCAGCCTCCGAAGTAGCTGGGACTACAGGCACCTGCCCACCACGCCTGGCTAATTTTTTGTATTTGTCAGTAGAGAAGGGTCTTACCGTGTGTAGCCAGGATGGTCTTGATCTCCTGACCCTCGTGATCTACCCGCCTCGGCCTCCCAAAGTGCTGGGATTACAGGCGTGAGCCACGCGCCTTGGCCCCAAAAAGTAGATATTTCATGATTCTATTCCCTAATCCACAACTGGACCATGGTCAGAGGAAAGTACTTTGGGAACAGTGCCTAGAAGAAGGAGGGTGGTTTTAGTAGTCACTGCTGTAAAAATAGCCTGTGTCAGACAATGGTAAAATTCTCTAGCATTGAAGATATTCAGTCAGAGACAAGGATGCCTATAGAAAAAAGAATTAACATATCAAGGAATGATTGGACAAGGTGTGGTTTAAAACAGTGGACAGCACAAAGAGGTTTTCAACACTTGCCTACAATAAGAAGAGAAAAAGGCCGAGCAACAGTGGCTCC